TGTTCCTGGATTGCAAGAGGGTTCAGGCTGGACTGAGGGCACCACCCCCCACCTCCTGCTGTGCACAAAATTTGTGCACTGGGTCTCTAGTGTTTTCATGTCTTTTGGCCTTCTGTATGTCATCTTTCTAAAAGTGTCTATTTAGGTCCTTTGCCCACTTTTTGATTGGATTCTTTATCTTTCTTTTGTTAACTTGTATGCGTTCCCTGTAAATGTTGGATATTAAACCCTCATCGGTGATAACATTGGCAAATATGTTCTCCCATGCAGTGGGCTTTCTTGTTGTTTAACTGAAAGCTTTAACCCATCCTTTTATCAAACCACTCCAAGCATTGGCTTCCTAAATATATATATGTGTTTTTAATACGTTTGACTTAGATTTGACAATCTTGACAAGGTAGATTATGTAGATTTACTGTATGTAGTAAATCAGCCATGTTGCCACAAAAGAGCTTTCAACACAGGCTCCCATTTTCACATGCAAATGGATATGAACTTTTTATCTAACTCAGAACTATTTGGGAAAACCCAATTACAGATCAAAGTCAAGCATCCATTTTGTTCACAGGGAATTTTGCTGCTTATAAAATTTACAAGGGAGTGAAATGAACATATGCACACGAATAAAAGCAGTATTTCCTTATTCACTAGAAGTTTTGACATATATCTCCCTGTAATCTACACATATAAAAGCCTAAGCGACAGTTACAACCGAAAGACCAGAACAACAGTGTCCCACCCCCCCCCCAGCCAACTTCCCGTGGTCCCTACTCCCATCAGTCCCCCTGCTGGCAGGACTCCATTGGTCCAGCCCCAATCGGTACGGTGCTGATCAGGACTGGGCTAAATGTCCCTGATCGGCCCTGATTGGCCCTGATCTCCAGCCAAGCCTAGGGACCCCACAATGCAGGAAGTGACCTTTATGGGGTTGTCTGCATTGCTGGGCTTAAACAAAATGAAAGAGGCCTACGTCACCCTCTACAATGGGATGCCACACTCAATGTCATCGGAAAGCTCTGGTCACTGCAGTCCCATGGTCCAACTGGTCTGGTGTAATGATATACCTTTTTTATCACAACTATGGCCCTGGGATGTTTACAATATTTCTAGATTAATGAACTCTTTTGTCAGTCTAGCATAGGCTAGGCACGTTAATGCACTTTTTGACTAGATAATCTGTTTCAATTATGGGGGAAAAGATTTGAGTCCTCAAAATTCAAGGTTCTTTTTTTCCTTTCAGAACTCAGTATTTCCCACCCCACCATTTTCTTTCCCTTTAACACTTTGTTGCCAAACAGCACTTCTTCCTTTTTTCTTTTCACCAAAGAAGTTGTGTACTTTATCTTGTGCTTATATCTTTAATCACATCTGTCCTTTAAAAATATCCGACTCCGCCCTGACCGGTTTGGCTCAGTGGATAGTCGGTCTGTGGACTGAAAGGTCCCTGGTTCGATTCCAGTCGAGGGCATGTACCTTGGTTGCAGGCACATCCCCAGTAGGGGGTGTGCAAGAGGCAGCTGATCAGTGTTTCTCTCTCATTGATGTTTCTCTCTCTCTATCCCTCTCCCTTCCTCTCTGTAAAAAATCAATAAAAATATATTTTTTAAAAATAAAAAATATCCGACTCCTTGTGTTAGTTTCCTATGGGTGTGAAATAAATTTTCACACATTTAGTGCCTTAAAACACAGATGTATTATCTTGTAGTTCTAGAAGTCAGAGACCTATAATGGGTTGGCAGGACTTGGTTCCTCTCACCTAAATCACAGCTTTTATTTAGCCATCTGGCTCTAGAAGAAATGATTCTGCCATGCTATTAAAATCTCTTCTGGCTCACACTTACCCTTTAACTTGTAATTAGTCACTCCTAACTTTTCATTGTCTCTCTCCAAAAGTTTTGTGGCCCAGCAGCAGTGATCCAATTGGATAGTCCTTATCATTACCATTTCCCAACTAATTTCCAGATATCTGATGCCAAGATATTCACTTCTTCTTGTTATACAACCCCAGTTCAACAACACTGAAAATTTGAAGAATTATATAGACAGGGCCAGCAGGCCCATCCCATTCCACCTTCCAGCCAAATGATGAGTGAGCCAGTTTCTCATTTGCATTTTACACTTTGCTCCTCAGAGGACTCCCAGTCAAACCTGGATAGGTTGGTTTCCCTGGGAAGCAGACCTAAATGGCTGTTAAGAATGTGAGAAGCTTATTCAGAGTAGCTGTCAGGATCCATATCTCTCAGGAGTGAAACAGCAGGACTGGCTGAGGGAACCACTGAACTACAATGCAGGCACCAGACTGGGCCACTCTACAGAGAAGTGGAGAGCACTGTCTCTGAGAGGCGTTTAAGTGGAGGGGAGTGTGCTGAGCTCTTATACTCCCAGTACAGCCAGTTCTTTGCTGGGGGCTACCCTCTAAGAGGAGGTATAAACTGAGGGAAAATCCCAGAGCTGCTCAGCTAAAAATTGCCATCCATCAACACCCCACAGGAAATATGGCAAAATATTCAATCCTACATTGAGAATTATCTTAATTATAAGAAATTGTTTTAATATGTTTATTTTTTTATTTAAACCAAAACTGCGCATTGTAAGTCTGCAAAAGTCTAAAAGCGTACTTCCCCAGATGCAACTTTCTGAGTTTAATAGAAAGATTTCAGCTGACATTGGGACTGGGGTCGAGGTGAGCTGGTGTTCAAAGCCACTCCCAAGCACATGATCGCATTTTCTTTGAGTCACAGTGTTTTCCAGCCAGCAGGGCTCATGAGGTCAGGTGTTATGTCACCCAGTCCTGTCCATGGTGCCAAGCAGAGCAGCTCTGCAACTCTTTCACTCTGAAATCTGTCTCTCACTCCACTCAAATGTCCTGTTGACATTTGTTCCTGTATATCTAAGAGGATAGACTTGTCCTCACACAAAAGACAAGGTCTTAGGGTCATCCCATGGGAAACAGTGATTTTTTTTCTAGGTTTGAATCCCACTAATTTGTGGCCCTCCCAAAACAAATACTAATTGACATACAAAGTTGTGAGGGCCAAGTCAGTTAACTTACATGTTGTTGAGTACACATTCCCTCCACCTCTTTTCTTAAGGGCTACATAGTTGGGAATGAAAAGAAATAAAGGAACTGGAGATAGGTAGGAAATGAAAAAGTATAATGTATCTTACTTTCAGAATCAATATTACAGCCTAAAAATGTACCATCTCTTTTCACATGCTACGTTCATATCCATTTTTCATCCTGGATATATTCCATCTTGTACTTAGGAATGCAATATCACGACTATTGAAATATTTTTCTCCTAATAATGGAGTATTTATTACACAACCAGCACTGTCCTGTGTGTTTTTTCACTTCATATAACTGTCAAAACAACACCATAATTTATTATATCACCAAGTTTCCACCTAAACAAATTGGAAGACAGGACTGAAGATCTTTGGTGATATCAATAATAAGCAGTGAAAACAATAGCCAAGGAAACGTTGACATAAATAATCTGTATATATAAAAGCCTAATATGCAAAGTGTCCCCTCTGGAGCTCCACTGACTGGGAGTTCGATCACTCGCTATCACTATGCTGACCACCATGGGGCAGCGCGGAACAAAGGAAGGCCCCGGACGACAGCTGACAGCAGCTAGGGACCCCACTGGTGCATGAATTTCATGCACCGGGCCACTAGTTTTTCTATAATAGAAGAAACGAAGTGTACTAAACAAACTACAACCTAATATGCTCATTGTAAAATTACTTCAATTTTCAAGATATTTCAGTACATCCTAGAATTCATTGAAAGCCACTCTTGAAATCTCAAGAACAACATATAAGCAATATTTTATAAATGGAATTGCCGTGAGACTGTCAAACCCAGAGTCATCAGATAAAGAAGAAATGCAATGGAGTGCACAGAAGACAATTCACATTATAAATCTGTAAGGTTTGACTTTGTTAGTACATCAAGAAATATTTTTAAATTACCAATTTTGGTCCATTAACCTTTTCATCTGAAGATATGTGTACAGACATTCACACCCACTCCCTTCTTGATAGTCATATTATGCCTAAATTACATCTTTATATTACTATTTTTACATAGTGCATGTAGTGCATGTCCAAACTATGTAAATCTCTTTGTTATGTAGGCTCAGAAAAAGAAGGTACCATATGTATATATATATAGTGTGTGTGTGTGTGTGTGTGTACCGGTTAACAATGCGGATTTTGTAATCAAAGAAAACATGATAATTTCAAGAGAAGCATCAGGAG